AGAGGCAGTGCGGTTGGCACAGGATAGAGCAGGATTTAGGGCTGTTGTGCATAGGGTCGCTATGAGTCGCAAACGACTCGACGGCACATAACAACAACAACAACAACATTTATTTTTTAAATAATTCTTTTTATGCTATTGACACCTTATCTAAATTCTCCTGAAAAGAATGCAGAAAGAATCACGAATTGCTTTTTACATAGAAATTAACATTTTTACTTATCAAAAAAAGAGAAAAATGCATGGTTTTTCTATACTTTTTAAAATTACTTTTTTCCTTTTTCTAGGTTGTACCGAGGTATAGCATATTTTAAACAACATTTTTATAAGGAAGCAACTCAAGACTTTTCTGCTGCAATTCACTTAGATCCTAATAGCTGGCTAGCACTGTATTATCGAGGCTGCTTATTCAGAAAGCCTAATCCTTTGAGAGCACTACAGGATTTTAGCGTTTCAGGTACTTTGTCTTCAACTGCACTTATGTAGGAATCTGATCTGAGTTTCAACAACATATTTTCATGGAGTGGAATACTGAAATTTTGTTGAATCAGAACAGACTCAGCTTATCCTTGTGCTGGAATCCCAAAGGCACGTGGTTTGAGTTCACTAGCAGTTCCAAGAGAGCAGGATGGACAATCTCCTTACATGTGATCACTACCTCTGAAAATCCACTGACGGGCCAGTCATGGTTGATTCTTACTCGATGGTAAACAATAGCAACAACAAATTAGATAGGAGGAGAGTGCTCATCTTTCTTGTATGGAGCAACTGGTGGATTTGAACTGCCTGTGTTGGGCTGAAAACACAGCTCCTTACCGTTAATCCATCAGAACTCCCTAAATGATTTATTAGGTATGTTTTAGGTAGTTGCTATAGTTTCACGAGGGAGCTCTGAAGTTTTGGTGAGTAAAAGTTGCACTGCCAACCTAAAGATGCATGATTTGACTCTACCAACTGTTCTGAGGCAGATAGATAAATCTCTTCCCATATGGTTTACAACCTCTGAAACCTCCTCGGAGTCAGTTCTGACTGTATGGTAATGAGTTTTGAGATAATTGCATACACAAACATAAATTCCTATACACTAAACAATGAATATTAAAACTAGTTCTAGTTAAACTGTAAGAACTTTGGGAGCCTAGTATTGCAGGGAGTTGTGCTGCTAATACAAAAGCAATACCTCTCTGGCTATTTGAATCAATTAGTGAGTCTGAGGAAGATAAATGGACAGTCTCTTCCTGTGTGATTTAGAGGGTTAACTATGAGTTGGTTCTGACTCAACAGCAATGATTCTGAGTTTTAGGCATATATATTTTGTATTTCTTTGTAAGCTGATATCATCGTTTCAATCACTCACTCATTGCCATTGAATCAGAACTGATTCATAGTTGAACCCTCCCACCCCCACCCCCATTCCCCAAATGGGTTTTCCAAGGCTGTAGCTATTCCAGAGGAAATTATCCTTCTTTTTCCTGAGTCATCACTGGTGCATTTGAACTTCCAGAGAGAAGTGACTTTTGGGTTAGCAGCACAACTTCCTATAAACTATGCCTCCACTAGAGCTCCCTATGATTTAACCAGGGCTGTTTTTATTACTTATTGGTAAGTGTATTCATTTATATTTGGTGTGTAGCAAAGTGATAATGTTATACTGAGCACTGGGGATTTGTTTTGGAAATCAACATTTTAGTCAGCTCTCTAAAATGGCAGGGAACGATCCTGGTATGCTATGTCTTATTCCACAGGTCCAGCTTCTAAATTAGTCAAAATCATAATTTGTAACATTTAAATTAAAAACATACCTTGAGAATACCAAGTAGAGGACTCTATGGCTAACTTCCACCCTACTCTCTGGCCAGTCTTGGTCTAAGTATCTTCCATGTCTTAATGAAGTATTAAATAATAATAACCACATTGTGACTTAAAAATATTTTTATGAACAATGCTATATATTGTGGAACTAGTAAGAACAATCACAGTAAAAATGTTCTATATTATGAAAGTTAAAAATAAAAAATACACAGAAAAATATAATTCCAATATAGTTGTACAAATTCTGAGTAAGATATGTTCTTTTATTTTTCAGTTCTCTTAAACGACGGCTATGAGAATTTTAGTTCTTTTCTACATCGGGGCATACTCTATGCAGAACAAACAAAGTGGATGCTGGCAATTTGTGACTTTGAAACCGTTATTTCTCTGGAAAGGTATGTTTTCTTTTTTATAGTTAACAGTTAAACATTAGTTTTCTATAAAATTAGAGAAAACAGAAATGAAAGAAAATGTATTTATCATTGTTGTTACGCTCAGTTGAAAATTTTATGGAATGTGAGATATTTATCAAGTTATTCTCAAATTAATACAACCTTAAAACTGTTACTTCTAAACTAAGTTCACTTGTCTCAGTACTTTTACAAGTTTTAGAAATTTGTGCTGCCATACCAGAGGTTTGCATCAATCAGCTGCTTCATGGAAGATGGGCAATCCCCTCCCATCTAATTTACCGCCTCTGAAAACCTGCTGTAAGGTTTGGTCTGCTGTGAATTGATTCGAACTTGACAAAACACAAGAAGAAGGAGGTTACAAATCCCTAAATAGTAAGCCAACAAGATACTAAAAGGAACTTTGAAATGGTCAAATTTGAACTTTTTAAATATCAGGGGAAATTTATATACCTGTCGAGGACTGTCGAGGACTTTCGTTCATAGGGTTCAAAGGGTTGCTATGAGTCACCTACAACTCGACAGCACTTAACAACAACAACAACAACAACAACAACAAGGTATTGAATACAGACAAACCATTCTGCTCACAGTATTTCCGCCCTGCAAAACATTGATCAACAGAAGAACCCTTTTCTTCAGAACTTTTGCTGTTAAAGAATATAACACACACACACACACACACACACACACACACACACACATGGATTAAAGAAAGAATTTTAAAAAGTTATTAGGTTGTTAGGTGCTGTTCAGTTGACTATGACTTAATGACCCTATGAACAACAGATATGAACCCTGTTCTATCCTGTGCCAATCTCACCATCTCTGCTAAACTTGAGCTCATTGTCACTGTGTCAAATAATTCTTGTTATTTTCTGTCTTTCACTCACCCTGTACATTCCCAAGTACAATTCTTTTTCTAAGAACTGTCTACTCCTAAGAACATGTCCAAAGTATGTGAGATGACAGTTTATCATCCCTGCCTCTAAAAAGCACCTTGTTTCATGTTCTCAAAGACACATTTTTTTGTTGTCAACCCATGAGATACTCAGTACTCTTCTCAACATCACAACTCAAAGCCATTGATTTTTCTTCCTTCATCCTTAGTCATTGTCCAAATTTCAGATGCATAGCAAGGAACTGAAAAAACTATGGCTTGAATCAGGTGTACTATAGTCTTTAAACTTATATCCTTGCTTTTTAGCATTTTGCAGACATTGTTGACTGCAGATTTTCCTAGAGAAACTCATCTATTGATTTCTTGACTGCTGATACCAAAGATGCTGTTTGTGGATCCAAGTAAGATGAAATTGTTGACAATTCTGTCTTTTTTCCATGTAATGAAATAGGCAAAGAGCTGGAGTTAGAAAATAAAAAGAACTCACTCAACATGTCTCAAGATGAAAGAACTGAAGAGCAATTTCAAAACTCTAGTTTCAATACTAATTGCAATACCAATTGACTTGTATCAATTAACAGACACAGCCCTGGGTGAGCTCATCCATCTATACCAAGAAATTTGCAAGAGCACTATCTAACTGATGGATTGGAAGAGGTCCATATTGGTTTCCATTTCCAAGAAGGTAATCCAACATAATGTGGAAACTGTTGAAAAATATAATTAATATCACATGCAAGCAAAATATTGCTGAAGATCATTAGAAAACCGCTAGACCAGTGCATAGATTGGAAACTGGCAGGAGTTCAAGCAGGATTTAGAGAAGGCCGGGGCACCAGGAATATCATTGCTGATGTCAGATTGATCCTGGCTAAAAGTAAAGAATACAGAATAATGTCTATTTATGTTTTATTGACTATACAAAGGCATTTGTCTTGTGGATTATAGCAATCAATGGCTAACATTGAGAAGAATGGGAGTCCCAGAGCACTTAGTTGTGCTTATATGAAACCTATACATAGGCCAGGAGGCTGTTGTGTGAACAGAGCAAAAGAATATTACATGGTTTAAATTAGAAAGGGAGTGCATCATGGTTGTGTTCTCTTTTCGTTCTATTTATATGCCAATCAAATTATGTGAGAATATGAAGAAGAATAAGAATGTGGCATCAAGATTGGAGGGAGACTCATCAATAACCTTTATTAGGCAGATGACATAACCTTGCTTGCGGAAAGTCAGGAGGATTTGAAGCACCTGTTGCAGTAGATCAAAGAATACAAACTTCAACAGATTGAATCTCAATCTCAAAAAACAAAACAAAACAAACCATCACCCAAAATTATTACCACTAGACAAATAGGCAACTTCATGACAGATGGAGAAGAGATTGAAACTTTCAACAACTCCAGGAAATCAGAAGATGTATTACACTAGAAAAATCTGCAGTTAAGGATTTCTCTAAATTATTGAGGAGTAATGATGTCAGCTTGAAGAATAAGGTGCATCTGATTCAGACCATCATCATCTTTCTGATCACTTGCTATGTCTATGAGAGCTGAACAATGAATAGGGATATCAGAAGAAGAATTGATGCTTTTGAGCTGTGGTGTGAGAGAAGAATGCTGAACATCCCATGGACTACCAAAAGAACACACACACACAAAATATGTCTTGAAAAGGGTGCAGCCAGAGTACTCTTTAGAGGCAAAGATGATGAGGCTTTGCCTCACACACTGGGCATTTTGCTAGGAAGGGCTATTCCTTGGAGAAGGACATGATGCTCAGAAAGGCAGAGAGTCAGAGAAGGTGAGAAAGACCCTCTGCCAGGTGGACTGACATAATGACGGCCACAATGTCAGGAAGTGTGAATATGGCACAAGACAGGACAGGATCTGTCGTTCATAGGGTCACTGTGTGTTGTACTTGACTCAACGGCACCTAACGACAATAACTGTTGCAGTATTGAAGGATGCTATAGAAAGAATCTCGAGTGATCCTAGAAGCATCAAAAGAACTTTGCAAGAATATATAGAGTCGCTCTACCAAAAAGTTGGCTCGCATAGAATCATTTCAGGAAGTAGCATATGATCAAGAATTAAAAGTAGTAGAGGAAGAAGTTCAAGCTACACTGAAGGCATTGGCAGGAGGGAAAATGAAGAAATGACAATCTCTTCAACAAATGGTGCTGGCAAAACTGGACCTGCAGAAAGCTGAAGCAGCATCCACATCTCATTCTACACACAAAAATCAACTCAAGGAGGATCAGAGACCTAGAGGTAAAGCCAAAAACCATAAAGATTATAAGAGACAAAATTAGATGTAACTTAGAAGGACTAGCCTATGGTATAAATTGGCTAGTGAATACAATCAGAAATGTACGTCTCGCAGAGGATAACATCAATGAATGGAGCTTTCTAAAGATTAAGTCTTTGTGCACATATAAAACCTTTTTCCAATGGAGTGAAAAGAAAACCTACAACTAGGAAAAATCATTTGGCAATGCCATCTCAGACAAGGATCTCAAAACAAAAGTTTACAGACTACTACAGGGGATCCACAAGAAAAAGACTGATAACCCAGTTACAAAATAGGTAAAAGACAGGGAAAGACCTTTCACAGAAGACAGTAGAATGTACAACAGACACATGAAGAAATGATCAAAATCAGGCAATCAGAGAGGTGTAAATCAAAATCACAATGAGATTCCATTTCACCCTAGTAGCAGTGGCAAAGTTTATCAGGAAAGCAAGCAAAAAAAGTTGCAGAGGATGTGGAGAGATTCGAACTCACATGTACTGTTGGTGGGATTGTAAAATGGTACAATCATTCTGGAAGGCAGTTTGGCTTTTCACTGAAATGAGAAGCTGAATGCTGAAATGTCATATGACCCAGGTTTATTCCACTGCTAGGAGTGAACTCTGAGGAAAATAAAACTGAGACAGAAATGGATATTTGTACACTGATGTTCATTGCAACCTTATTCACAATAACAATAAAATGGAAATAACCCAAATGTCCATCAACAAATGAATGGACTGAGAAATTGTGATACATTTGTCTAATGGAATGCTATGCAACACTTAAGAGCAAAAATTTCAGAAAAATACTATGCAACATGAAGGAGGCTAGAGAGTATTATTCTGAGTGAACTCACTCAGCCTCATAAGGACAAATACTGTGTAAGAACATTATTGTAGAAATTGGAAGATAACTAGTAAAACGTATATGAGGATCCAAGGGGAGGAGGATGGGAGCAAAGTGTTGATGATGGGAAGGGGGTAAATTATAGGGCGATACCATTTGGTAGATGGAGTGAGTGGTGGGTAAAGGAAATGGGAAAGGTCTGGCAGGGATCTAGAAAGACAGGGTAATGGTGGGCATATTTCAATGATTAATTTTATAAAACATAATAAATGGGATTGATTGTATGAAA